GACGTTGTAAAACAAGCCAATTCACTTCGTGAACTCGGCAACCAGGTTACCGGTTTTTTTTTTTACTTCCGTTATTTTTTTTTGGCGGTAAACATACTGGTGGTCGAGTAGATCATGATGTACGGGGTCGAGAACCCTCTCTCCACGCAAGGGGGATGATCGCACCTCGTTGTGTTAAAATGGTCAAGCACCCTCGAGGCAGTTACACAGTGCTTACAACTGTCTCTGGAAGTGAAAGCACCAGAAAATAAATTAAGTCATCGCAGCTGCCATCCGTACGAAAGGAAGAAAGCACAACATGCCGAAAACCCTTAGCAGGATGCAGCGCACCCTTCATGCGACTCGCTGAATACCTCACGGCGCTTCGCGCTTGGTGATGTGAGAGCCTGGTCCGGTGAGAACCCGGCGTGCTCCGTCCCGGCTTTGTAGGGATGCGAGGTCAATGGTCTAACGACTACGGCATGCACGACTATGAGTACACCCCCCCCCCCCACGCAATCCCAGGTGCCCCTTGGTTCCCATCGTACCGCCTCGCCGCACGAGAAGGAGCGGGAGGTGGCGGCTTCTCCGACGAACGAGAAGGAGCGGGAGAGGACAATAACTCCGGAGTTTTGGGTGACGTTGGGTCTTCCGGCCGGTGCTGAAGACGGAGCATCGTCTGCGGCCACAACAACGGTGAACGAGATCCACGTTGGAAATACAGCGTTCCTGTCCCGCCCGCTGGAGATGCCTGCAGAAGAAGTAACGTTCCACGATGAGGACAAATTGGCAGCTCTTTTTGCATGGGCTGGCATGAAACAACTAGTCCGTGCACAAATTCCCCAACCCCACACCGTTGCTTTCGGGTACATTTACCATACCCCATACATCGCGAAACTTCCGCCTTCTTCGCGGCAGTCCGTGTTCCAGCTTTTGTTCGCTCTCCGTCGTGCCACCTGTAATAGAGGTCCTCAACGAACGTCGGTGGTGACACAAGATCGAGGACTCCAGCTGCCTCTTGCTCGTGCTGCCTCGAACAACGACTTCAAGCACGATCTGCAAGCCCCCCGGCAGCCCTCTTCACGCCCTGAACATGGTTCTGGAGGGGACAGGGACTACAGTAGGTCGGCGGCTCCTGTGTCCAAGAGCTGGAAGAACCATTGGGGTGACCAAGATTCGACGGCCAAGAGCGGGACGGGCGACCACCGTCGCTCCACCCAGTCTTCGCGAGGGCGCGGCGTCGGAGATAACAGGCGAGGGCGAGCCGTGGGGAACCAGCCTACCAGGTCTTCGCCGGCGAGTCGTCATCGCCGGAGCAGGAGTCGGAGCGCAGAACGTCAACAGCGCACCAATCCTTTGTCTAGGCGTGGGCGCAGCCGGAGCGGAGACCGTCGTGGGAGAAACACGCCTCCGTCTAGGCGTAGCCGCAGCCGGAGCCAGAACCAGAGCGGGGGCAATAGCAGGGCGACCAGCACTGACAGCAGTCGCGGCGGAAAAGGGGGACGGAGGTCAGGCCACGGTAGCAGGCAAGTGATGTATGATCGAGGTGATTTTCGTAGCTCTGGGTTGTTGGGGGAAA